TCCCCCCCCCCCCCCCCCCCCCGTCAAAGAGCTAATGTTAGCTCTTTGTTAACAAGCAACTGATGAAGGCAAATGCTTGCAGGCAAATGCTTGCAAGCAAATGCCCCAGTCCAGACCGACCCCTCCACCTCGACCGTTCCCAGCATCAGAGCGCTTGAATTACTACCGCCTTACCAGCTCCACATCTTTACTTCACTCCAGCGCCACGAGCACGACATTCTCGCCCCGTACAAACAAAACCTTGGATCGCCTCGGCCGCTCGCCTCTATCTCTAATTACCGCCATCGCAACCACCATATTAAAATGCTTATCAAACGCCACAACAACCCCGGAAACATCCCCTCGAATGGCATGCGTCTCCCTCAGCATGATCCTGACGCGCCGTCTCAGCCTGACGGCGCGCTCCAGCATAGCCAGCGGGCCGCTCTTGGCGGCCTGTCTTCGATGCATCTGCGCGAGCACGCCGAACCTGGGCGCGAGCGCCGCGCCGCCGGGCTCCTCACCGCGCGGCCGCTTGCTTCGCTGCCTGCCGGCCTCGGGCTCCTCACCGCGCGGCCGCTTGCTTCGCTGCGCGCCGGCCTCGGGCTCCGACTTGGGGTCTGGCTTGCGAACGGGCGCTGCTCTGAGCACGCGGAACGGGGCCGTCGCTACGCTCGCGCACATGGCGACATTGTTCAGCGGCTGCGCTTTGCTGAAGGCGCGGCGGTCGCGAGCCGTCGGTAGCTGCGCCTGCACATCTTCTGGCGCCGCGCGTAGCGCGAGGGAGGCGTCGAAGGCGTCAGAGAATGGGTTGAGGCGTTGTGGGGAACGGGCGTCGCCGGCATTGCCGGTCATCGCTGCGAGAGCGGGCGGTGTCCATCAGGGGCGGGACAGCTGCCTCGTGAGAGAGTGGAGGAGCTGGGGGCGGAAGACAGCCATGACATCAACATCGTCGACATGATTGAACGACGTAGATGGCGGTGGGTAGTGTTTAGCCGTTATTTCTCGGATGCTGCCAATTTTACGCCAAAGGGCATCGAGTGATTGAGGTTTCTTTCTTTCTACAGTACATAAGCGCCTTCGAACTTGCTTTGTTTACGAGTCTACGTGGACCAGACGTAAGAATAACGATTCCGAGGTTTTGGCCCTTGGCTCCCCTTCTGGTCACTCTCCTCTTCAACATCTTTCCTTTTAGTCTTCCGTCGTCGTCTGGATCAAGCCAGATGCATTCAACTGACTGCTTTGCCGACCTGCGCCTGTCTGCTTCGGACTATCTGCCGCGCTGCACTAGCGTTCGTAATGGCTCGGTTGTTTCCCGCAATTTCTCAAGTCATTCCAACCATATGGAAAGCAGATTCCTCTCAGTCCGTTGACGAGCCGCAAATGCCACACTATCATCTGCAAGCAATCTAATTTACTCTGGAAAACGCTGGGGCCTTCTCAGGTGACCGTCTTCACCTGCACACTTTGCACGTTCTTAAAGGCACAAATTTCCATCAGTGGGGGCTGGAACAGCATTTCGATACCGATATCTTTTTCTCAAATTGTCTGCTTCTGGTGAAACCCCATATCGTATCGTGGTGGTCTGTGCACAAGGTGGGGATGGAAAGCAACTCGTTGTTTGCCGTTTTAGTGTAGCAGCTATCCCTGCCACACAACCAGTGTCTTCCAACTATTTCACCTCGAGGCTTTCTCTAGAGAGAGGACTGAGCACCAAAAGCTGACGCCATGGACATGGGATAGGGAAAAGGTTTTCGGACGCACTCGGGAAGGAAGACCGAAACCTCATCGTCCTGAAACTGACTCAGCCCGCTCTCTCGCTCTCCAGCAATTTTACGAGAATTACATTGCCACACCCAGACTCAAGTCAGCATGTCGTCCGTCTCTCCAACAGATGCGTGCAACTGTTTGTCTATGTGTGTGAACAAACGAGAAGGGAAAAAAGGGGGGAGGCACAAGTGGTATACAAAAATTGCATGTCGAACAACACCAAGTCACAATTTTACTCTGGAATAATGCAAAGGCAAAGATCCCTAACGATGAAGGCGTCAAATGCGCTACTTTAAGACCATACCTCTTCGAGACCTTTAAAGGACGTTTATCCACAAGTCTTGCCGTTTTGCGTCATGGAACCAGCATCAGCTTTCAAGCCCGACTCAATCGTCGTATTCGGTGGGCCCAAATCGCCTTTTCGAGGAGATGACACTTTTAACTGGGGAAGGGGCGATGTAACCGTGCCCCCGTCGGAGCTGCTCTCTGTCTCTCCCGGAAATATCCCAACAGGAGACTGCACTGCCTCAGACGGGTTTCCAACATCCCCAGAAGGTGTCGTGGCAGCGGAAAAGTTCTCAGGCACAGGTGCGTCAGTGCTGAGCTCTTGTTTGGGAGGAATTTCTAGAAATCCGTCGTCATCCAAATTAGCAGCATGCACAACCTCTACGACTTCATCATCCTTCTCAGGCTCTGGAACAAATTCGATACTACTATCGCCCTTGTCCTCACTAGAGATTGTCTCGGGGATCTCAAGGAAGTCCTCGTCTCTATCATTGTCATCATCCTCATCATCTGATATGATGATGACTCTTCGAGAGGACTTGGACTTTCGACGCGGTCGAGAAGACGTTGGCCCCGTTGGTTCCGATGGTCCCGGTTCTCTTGTTCGAGACGTACTTCGTGATCTCTTCGAAGAACGACGACGATCAGTTTCCCTACGTCTCGGGATGACCGCCTGTGCTTTTTCCGCCCGTTTGATATTGGCGATTTCTTTAAGACGAGCTAGAATGTGGGTCTCCTCGGCAGCTAGGCTAGCTTGAGTTTCTTGTACGAGGAGCTCGGCCTGAACCTTGTTCACTACATGAGCACGGTCTACACTTGATTCACACTTCTTTGTCTGCATGAGATGACTCAAACGGACGAGCTCTGGACCTAGCTCATCAGTAGAATCTCTATCGTCAAATTTGGATGCAAAAGTTTCTCTCGGGGAACGAAATTCCAACTCTAAGTCACCAACTCGAGGCGGAGCAGGCGTAGTTGTTTCATCAGCTGGCTTGCCTTGGGGAGTAGAGCCGACCACTTTGGGTTCTTCGATGGACGGTCCTGCAAGCGAGGGGAGCGTGTATGTCAACGAAGCCATCAACTTTTCTTCCACTGGTGATACAAATTCCAGGCGCACGCGACTAGTTGCTTGCTGCGATTCGAGTTGAGACGAAAGCTTAGTCGGCGCAAGATCATTTACGTTGGTGTTGTCGGCAAGCACAGCATGATCAGTTTGACTCTTTAGGGGTTTTGGACAGATTTCTTGAACCACGCAAGCGACGTCAAGGAGAAGATCAATTATTTCGGTGACAACAGTGAGCGAGGAATCTCGGTTTCCCCGCGGATTCAATGTAGGACGACCGAAATGGGGACGGAATGGGTTATCATGTGCTGGAGCAGATTTGACAGAAATGCTTGCAGGGTTTTGGGGGGGAGGACAAGGAAGGGAGGAGGATGAGGAGTCAGTCGGGTGGATGTCTGTGCTAGGGGTGTGTGGTGAAGAAGGATGTGGATGAGGAGAAGGGTGCGGGGGAGGAAAAGGTTTGGATGATCTGCGCGAAATGCGACGACGTTTCGAGGCGGAGTGGTTTCCGCGGTGGGAATCGGATTGACTGGGACGTTGGTGATCAACAGCAAGGCAGACGGAGGCAATCGGTCTAGCACAAGCGCTTGTCTCCTTGACACGTGCCAAGGGCAAAACCGGGAGCGGGACTGGGGCGGTGGGAGGGGAGTGGGAAGAACGCGGCGAGGGACTACGGGCCATGGCGGTGGCGTCGCGTTCTAGCCAACGCAGTCGATAATGCGTATGCCTGGGAACGTTGGCATACTGTTTGACAAAATCGGCCGGTTTGAGAAAGGGAAAGTCCGAGGCGAGCTTAACATCGCGGTGGGAAAAGTCGCCGGCGTACCACGAGGCGACGGGCCACTCCCAGAAGTCCTCGGCGGTTTTCGGGAGGTGGTGGGGGGTGAAAA